TGATTCTAGCTTCTGGACGACCTGCACACGCGCGGGTGACACGGAGCAGTTGTTATGAAATTCGAAAGCGAGAGGAAGACCACGGACTTTTTACCTCTAGTCTCTGGTGGTTCCAACAGCGCTTATCGTGTCTGAGGCCCAACCACTCAAGAACAGCGGCAAGTAGCTCAGGCCGATCCAAAGCTGTTTGGATAGCCTTTGACATGAGGGTGAGGCAATGGGGGGCCATTACGCTGTTGGGACCGGATTGTGCCTCTATCTGTGATTGGAGATGAATAAGTTCTGCATCCTCACAAGGAGCAGCGTCAGCATCCTCACAGCGCTTTGGAAGGAAGGAAGGAAACCCTAACCCGTCGCCATATTTGCAGTGTTGGGAGCAAGTGGGAGCGACGTAGAAGTGGGGCTTAAACTGTTGTGGACTTCAAAGCAATTACATGAACTTTGCTCCCTCACAATCCTCCTTATATTAGGCCAAAGGGTGTATGTCTCCTCCGGAGCACATTTCCCACAACACATACATGTAGGGGGTGTTGGGCCATTCTCACAAGTGACCCACTTCACGTGGGAACATCAAGCCTTAGAAGAACGTTTCAGATATCACGCTTGACATACACACAAGTTTTTTTCCTACACCAACCAGGCAAAAAACTGTTGTTTCGGTTGGGTCCGGGCAAACTACAACGATTCAAGTCTGAAAAAATGTTAAGTAATCTTACCCACGGTACCGTGGATATGGGGCAAAGATGGCTGCGAACAAAGAACGCCCCTGGCACTACAGTTTTGTGGAAATACTAAAATGGCTCATGCTGCGAGAGGTTTATCCCAAGTGCCAGCACATGCCATGATCAAGCTGTGTGGGTTTCACACTGCTCAACATTGCTTCTCCTCGTGGGGCATGGACTATGCCGATTGCAACCTCTTGTCGAGGATGCTTTGCAACAATGCTACCAGAGATGTGTTCAAACTGAGAACCATGGCCCACCTACGAGCAACGACCCGCCTACCCCTACCCGCCTCTGCGAAATTTTGAGCCTAAACCTGCAGCGACCAACTTTGCAGGTGCTGCGACCACAGAAGCACAATTCCACATCATACATACTGCCCTGAATGATTCGCAATCCACTGTTTGAAGTTGCAAACAAATGCTGGTGAGAACATGGGATGCCGCGGAAATCATGCAAAGAAAACGCACAGACATCACGGCTGCAAAACCTTTTTTAATAACATGGTGGGTTTGGAACCATGCCAAGCATGCTAAGCCAGGCTCTTGTTGCGAGTTTTGGCACCATTTTTGCATCCATCAATCGCGGTCGTAGTGACGGATGTTGTGGCCGGGCCACCCCGCAGACCTGAGGCGAGGCGCCATTGCCACAGCGGGAAGCCACCTGCCACAACGTCAATGCAATGGTCGTCGATGAGCGGCTCATTGATGCTCATATTGGTGATGTGCATGTTGCGGGCGACACAAGTGCCCGCCTTCGGATGGCCCACGTATGCGGCCCCAACCAAAAATTGGACATTCTAGTTCGCCTTGGGTGCGGCCGTGCCTTTGGCCGATGCCAATCATGTCTAAAATCATCTAAAACTGCGGACCGCCGCCACCTCTAACAATTTGTTTTCGATGTCCTTTTCGCACCTTCGCCCGTGGAAGACATGGCCAACACCAAGGCAAGCATTTGCTGTGTCCACTTGCCGCGTTTTTTCCCTGGCCCGTGGAGCCAACCCCAGATTTGGGCTGCAAAAACGTATCAAACGAAACGATTCTAGCTGGATGTTCCTGAAGCCTCTACAGGATATGCCCCGCCAATTTTGAGTTGTTGCAACCGCACATGGTGACATGGCACCGCAAGTGGTCGGAATGTTGGCAAATGAAAGCAAACAAAGAACGAGAATGAAGGGAGTGAGCCTGTCTCGCTTGGGTCTTTGCGACGCACAACGCTCATAAATTGTAAACGAGTTTGGATACCACACAAGCCTTGTAAATCTGTGGGAATCTGAAGAATTTTTGGCTTACACACACCTGCGTGCCTCCACACCCGCTTCAATTTTTGGAAAGCAGCTCTAACCGTCCCAATGCGGCGCCGAACCTTTGGTCTTGGCCTACCCTGTTCGTTGATCAGCCCTCCCAAATAAACAATGGCATGAAACCTGCAAAACCGGGAGGCTTATACTGAAAACCAATGACGCATCCGAGTTGCACAAAATCAGCCTTGATCTGTCTGTCCAAATTCAAAAAAAAAGTTGTCCCTTTTGCTTTCCTGCTGCAGCAATATTCGAGCTCAAGCGCGAGCCAGAACGAAAGAACAAGAAGCAGGAACGCGTGAACACTGCATCCGGCCCCTCCCTTCGTGAGGACATTCCAGCTCTGCGTCAAACGCACAGACACTTGGGTAATGTGGATGACTCCTCCCGGGTTACCCCCCGAATTCCGCGAACAGGGTGGAACATGTCCTGAGTAATCCGTGGGCACGCACAGCCCAATCTAAACGGCTCATCGTTAGGGAACAGGCACTGCTAATGCATTATTTGTTGCCCATCGACTCATTGATCACGTGTTGTACCACGAAAACAATCTGTTGGTGTTCTTGGCTCTGGACTGGTCGAAGGCATTTGACAGTGTAGATCACCAACGACGGTGCCATGCCCTTATTCGATTTGGTGTTCCGCAAAAATTATCCGATGTCATTGGTGCAATTTATAAGGACGGACAGCTCACCACCTCAGCATCCACCGACAACATTTCGGCATTTCGCAAGGGTGTCCGTTGTCGCCGTTTTGTTTTCAATTCTGATGACCGTGTTGTTGTTCGATGTGTCTGCAAAGCTGCATTTGCGTTTGCCGCGTTCAAGTTCGGATACCGCCGTTGACGAACATGTGTGTGCTGACGACACCATGGTGGTTGCTGTTGACGCATCCAGGGTTGAGAGCTATGTGAGCGCCATCGCCCCTGCGGGGATGGACTATGGCTCGTGTTTCAATTGGCGCAAAGGTCGAATGCAAATCTTCCATGATCTACCTGCGGAGTCTGCTGGACGGATCTGGTGACATAGGATCAGAACTCAGTCGCCGACTGTGTTCTGCTAGGGCGGCTTTCAACAAACTCACACAAGTGTGGGGCTCTCAACAAACTCACACAAGTGTGGAAGCACGCTCGCATGTCCCAACAACACAAGGTTGCGGTGGAGCGGCATTCTGGCGGCTGCGGCACAGCGAGCCTTCGCTGCGTCATTCCTTGAACTCCCGCCGGGCCATGAGGGCAGTGCTGGTGGGCCCGACCCACCTCTGCATGAGCTTCTGGCCGATGCCCGCTGGCAAGTCACGCCGCTGAGGCACGCAGGGCGTGAGCGCCGCTGCACTTCTTTCCCTTCCCCCCGCGAGAACAGCAGGGAGGAAAAGTCCATTGAAAGAAAGGAAAGAAAAATCCGCATTTTTGAGGCTTGCGTCGGTTTCCACCTCGTGTATTGTTTGCATACAGTTTGGTGGAATAGAGCGGCGCTCCGGAAACTCGCATACGTGAGCCGCATTTTTTATCTGAAGGTCCTGAGGTTGGCTGCATGTAAAGCATATTCCAACATTTGTTGCACAGGCAATTGCATCTGGTTCATCGAATTGCTTTACTCCCCTCCACTGACGTCATGTGAACGTGTGTTTTCGACAAGGGTTGTTGTTGTTTTTTTTCACGTAAGGACCTGGGGGTCACGACAAACCGAGATGCAGGGGACGACGGAAACAGGCTGGTTGTACAGGTGGCTGGTAGCCAGGAAAAGTTGGCAAATCTTTGATCGTCTCCGCGAATCGCGCGGCGGCACCAAATCCGTGCCTTTTTGATTGTCTATTCCATGCCCATGTGTCCTTGTACACGAGGCTTCAACCTGCCTCGACCTTGTATTGCATCAAAACGGTTCTCGTGTCTGCAGACCGGTTGGCTGAACGCGCATTGCGAAGGGTTGATGCATTTCAAGCTCGTTGCCTGCAACGAATATTGGGCATCCCACACTCTTTAATCAGTCATTTTCCCAACGTTGAGGTCTTGAAACGAGTCCAAGGCCACAAACTTTCCCAAAATCTATTGCTCCGGCAGTTGATGCTTACCCGCAGGGTGGCTGAACAACATTTGGTGCCTGACAGCTGGTACCATCCACCCACATATTTGCATGAACGTTGTTTCTTTTTCCACGGACCTTTTTGCGTCTGCAAGTGATTGTCCCGTCGCCCCCCTACTCAGGGCTTCCAAGCCATTTGCCGCTCACGCCCGCCCCGGCGCGGGTAGGCGGCTGGGCGCGATGGGTTGAATGGCCCTGGCGTCAGCCAGCAGCTCCGCCAGGGGCGGCTCGGCCCCATCACACTCATCGGCCATCGCCAGGGGCAGCTCCAGCAGCGACATCGCGAAAGCGCGTTGGGCTGCGACAGCCAGCATCCCTGTCCACTTATGGATGCTGGCTTGTCGCGCCGCCCCGCGCAATCTTGCGGGCACTCCTCGCGCCTTCGCATGCGCTAGCTGGCGGACAAACCCAAGCGCTTCCTGCCCGATTCGCCCGCCCACCTCAACGCCCAGAACTACAAGTTTGCACCGCCTCGCGGCGAGAAGCTCTGGGTACACCACCCGCCTTTTGCGGTTGGCGGCTGTTTGCAAGGCGAGGCCCGTGGTTTTGCCCAAGTGCAAATCGATGTTCGCGTGCGTTTTGAGCGCGGCTTGCAAGCTCCGGAAGGCCTGGGCAGTGCGGTCGGGGGAGGTGGTGACGTAGGTGTCATCCAAGAAGGCGTAGAGCTCCTCGCCTTGGGCGAAATTGGCGTTCGCCGCCATGAGGGCTCCATGCACACCGACCGCATACAAACCCGGCATCAGTGGGTCTCCTTGTTCACCTCCTTCAGCTTGCTCGATGGTGTGGGCACCCCCGTCAGCATTATAGTAGAGGTATGTGCTTTGCGCGCCATAAAAAAAAGCGGACGAACGGGATAAGGGCCTCCAAACGCGCGTCCCGCCTCAAGCCTTCAAAAATGGCGGCCCGCGCGATGTGATCGTAGGCGCCAACGCCATCAACACTGAGGACGGTGGTGCGACTTCCCGACTCCGTGGCCAGGTTGAGCTCGCGCGCCAGGGCTTCCGCTCCAGCCTTGGTCGACAGCGCGTATTGGAACGGCGCGCAAACTGCCTGCAAAGCCTCGGCGGCATGCTGAGCGCAAGTTCGAGAGACGATACGCCTGAAAACGTCTCCCATGACTAAGGCGCGCATGCCGCCAGACGGCTTGGTGAGGGCAACCATGCGGCCGATGCGCAATTCAGCTACCACGTCCGAGGGGATCAGGCCCTGCACTAAACAAGAAACTGCGTGGTGGAAAAGGTCGGTGCCTTCCTCTTCATCTAGGAGCACGCGGAGGCGTTCAGCGATGGCTCCTGATGGGCCCGCCGCGGCGCCGCGACGCGCGCCACGCAAGTTGGCGAACAACCTGTCGGCGCTGAGGTCAAGCAGCCCATCATCGGGCCTAAAATCCGCCAACCACGCTGGCAGAGGCACCTGGCGTTCCCGCGGCCTGGTTGGCAGGTGCCACCGGGGCCGCCTGCAGCGCTGAGGCGGCGGCTGACATCTCACCCAGGTGTGCCAGTGCCATCGCGCGCTCCACACGTCGCTGGGTTTCGTCCTGCTGCTGTTTTTCCCGCTTCCCCGCACCGCGGTCCCGCCTGACCTGTTGCCCTTGCAGAGTTGTCTGGGCCGCGGCGGCAGCCTCGGCCAGCAAGGCGAGCCACCGTCTAGCCGCCAGCTGTTCGACGCGGCGCGCAAGTTCGGCTGGCTCAACGCGTGTTTGGCCCCGGCTGCGGTAGAGTAGCATGCGCAGGAAGGGTTTCCAACCTGCGGCCACCATTTGCGGGCTGCGCGCCTCACGGATCATCCGCAGGCCTTCCTGCAAAACCTGACGCAACGCTCCGCGGACGCACGCTGGTGGGCTCTGAACTGTGAACACGCGGCGGCGCAATTCCGCCTCAAGGTCCAAGGCTTCGAGATCTGCAGCGGCGGGTGCAGAGGCCACAGCGCCAGACGCGTGCGGCGCAGATGGCTCAGCGGCGAGCTCAGGTGCCGTCGCCTCATGCCAGCCATCGCGGCCCCTGCCCCGGCCTCCTCTGCGACCGCGGCCCCCGCGCCGGCCGCGGTTGGGACAGCACTGCCGTTACGACATCGTCTGCGCTGTCTACGGCTGTTGCTGGGCAACCCGCTTCCAGATCCTCATCAGGAGCACGTTCTTGCACAGTGACGGCATCCAAGCGGGGCCCCGTTCCTGGGTCTTGGCGGTACTCAGTGGCGAGCGCTGCTGCCTCGCTGGCCAGCGCCGCCCCTCCATACAATTGCAAAAAGGCTGATTGGGCGGCGGCGGGCAGGTAACCGCCTCGACGGCTTCCGGCAATGAGACAACAGGCGGTGGCAGGTTGCCCAGGTGTGTGCAAACACGCACGACCTCATCCGCGCTGCTGCCTTCGGCCAGGCCTGCGGCATGCACCGAAGCCAGGAGTCTGTGCCTACAAACAGGTTAGGCCGCCGCCAGTGCACCCGTGAGTTGGTTCCATTTTTCTCCGCTTGTTGAATGTGCGAGCCACTGGCGCGCGCGACCGCTGTCCAAGTGCCCGGCTGCGTGCAAACGGAGAGGCACGTAGAACCAAGAGAGCGGCGCACTGTCCGCCGCCTCTGCTGGGGGCGTGTCCGGCATGGTCGGGGCACACCTTTCCGATCGTGCATCCTCATCGTCGCTGTTGGGCGGCGTCATGCACAAGGCGGCGTCGGCCTGTGGAGGCGCGTCTTCCGAACAATCGTAGAAGTGATCATGCGCGGCAGCGCGGGGCGAGCCCGCCACGTGGTGCACGCTCACAGCCCCATCCTGCGGCGTGCTGATTCCAATATTCGCCAGGGCACGCAACGCTCGCTCGTGGTCTGCAGGCCCCTGGGTGGGCCCAGGGTCCGAAGCTTCCCCCACCCGCATGTTTGCGTAAGGGCTCCAATTTGCGCAGGTACATAAAGGCCCTGCTTTGTCGCGCGCTTACCCGCCTGCTTGCGGCGGCCAGCTTCGCGCCTAGGGACCTCCAAAAGCACTGCTGCAAGCTTGCAATGTGAAGGGCATGCAACATCAACATGAGACTGTCTTTTTTGCACCCCGCACTGGACTCTCGAGCATCTGCGGGCCTGCGGCCGGGTGAGACGTAGGCCGCGGCCTGCCTCGCTGCTATCACCTGGTGCCTGGGTAAACGGGAATACCCTGTGCAAAAAATGCTGTGCTGGCTCAGGCTTCGGATCAGGAGGCCGCGTGCTGCAGGATTGCCGCCGCATGTTGGAGGATATCCCTCAGGACTCCCCGGTTGCCATGTCCTCCACGCCCTGCATTGCCTCCATGCCCTTTGCCTCTGCCAGATCCTTTGCCACCACTTTTGCCTGCTCCCTTGCCCTCGCGATGCTTTGCTCCGGCCCGGTGCCTGCCTCGGCGGTCATCCGCTGGAGGGCTGCGGCTGCGGCTTCGGGAGGGCTCCCGGCTGTCGCGACGCCGCGTCCCCGTCGGAGAGGAGAGGTCCGCGATTGCAAACAAGAGCCTTGCCGCTGCGCCCTCGTGAGCATCCGGAAGCGCCCGGGATGGACCAAACGCTGGGGCCTGTGGATGGCCGCACATGGCGGGCACGGTGCCGACCCGTCTGCAAGTCGTTGGTGGCAAGCGGAGCAGAGCTGGCTTGCCATGTTGCACTGACAGCGGCCTTGAGGGCAAAATTGAAACTGCAAAGGCTGCGGGTGCAAAACGGTCCTTTGACGGCAAGCAAGCTGACATGCAACCTTATGCAAGCAATGTCCCCCATGCATGCAGATGTCACTCTTGCCTCGTGTTGGGGCGGCGGCGTCGTGGTTGTGCAGCCGGCGGTTCCCGCCTGGTTTTGGCGCACGCCGCAGTGGGCGGCTGGCCGCCGGCCTGCGCAGGCACAGCTGCCTGGAGCAGGCGGCAAAGCAGTGTCAGGGGCGGTTGACCCGCCTGCGCTGCCAGAGCCACGATTTCCGCCTCGCGACCTTCCGCATAGCATCTCGCCAGTTCCGCAGCTGAGGTTGCCCACTGCTCTGCATGGTTCCCACCAGCCGCCGGCTCGGGGGCCAACCACCGGCTCGCCCTCGCGCCCGACCAGCTTGTCAGCATGCCCATTAGCACGCCCACCAGCAGCCACCGCCAACTTAAGTGAAGCGAGGCGAAACCGGGCGTGAGGTAACGTTGTTAGCTTTCGTTTACAATTTGCACGCATGGCGTCCATCAAACTGCGGGTGTTTGGCGGTTGGAGGCAAGATTGTACATGATGCCAACGCTCGATTGCACAGCAAATTTTCCTTCAGACCAAGCAGGTGTTGAACCATGTGTATCAAGAATGAGAAAACCTGTTTGGATGTCACATCAAACCGCAACTTCCGTTCCCCGACAACTCGCCCGCAGGGCACAACATGTGCTATGATGTTGGACCAGACCCTTTTCGTGCAAAAATTTGGATGCACCTTGGTCCGGTTTATTTCGTGTTGATATCGCATGATTGAGTTTCCTCAATCAAGCAACGGTTTACGTGTATGAGCGCTGTGTGGGCATCGCACCACGTCTTGGTATGTTTTTTTTTTGTATGTTTTGGTTCTTGCTGAGCTTGCGATCCAGGTGCCAGTTTGCACGGCGCATTGCAAGGAAGACTCTGATGTCTCAAGTCATCCCTGGCCGGGCACTTCCCCGCAAGGTTGTTGACGTGGTTTCTGCACACTCGGTGCCTTGATGTTACATGCACTTTTTTTTGGAAGATTCTGGATTTTTTTGGAGGAAATGTGCCCCGCGCAGGGCCTGACTGTAAGAAGTTGATCCCCCACCCCTTCCAAGGCTCATTGCCTAGTAGTGTGGTTTCTGGGATGATACACACCATGACGGAAGAAATGTGCCCCACACATGGCCCCGATAAGAAACCTTACGCTGTAACACCATGCAGGGGACCGCAACGTCTGTGTGTCCTTGCAGACGAGGTTGGCGGCCGTTGGAACGAGGGTTCCCTGCGGCTCGTCTGCTCTGGGCGCGTGGGCCATGCCCAGTTTGCCAGCAGATGGGGATGACGTCCCTTTTGCTGACTTGCTCCAACTCGCGGATCCGGCGCCTCCCAGGCAGCTGCCTCCGTGAAAGCGATCGCTGAGGCGCTTGCATTCCAGCTGCCCGGCGACAGAACGCAGAGGGTTTTAGCGGATGCACTGGGATCGCGTTGACGGTCTTAAAAAGGTCCGCCCAAAAAAAAATAATCCTGGCCATCAAATTTGGTCAAACCTGCATTCCATGAGGCAACCTAATTGGGGCGCAGGCAAATGCGGAGAAAACGCGCTTGAGCATTGAGTTGAACAAAAATGTGACTAAAATGTACATATGTTTAGTGCTGTACGAACACGGCACACGCACCGCAAAAAAAAATGCCATGCACGGAACTTTGCAGCGTATGCGTGATCATCCATCCAGCTACGCCACCCCATGGTTCCGGCAAATGATTCCAAGGACGCCGATCATCATGATCTTCTTTGTGTGGCACACATGACAGTGGTCCAACACCTCCAAAATAAAAAAAGGAATGAATGCGTTGCAGAAAATATGTCCAGGCACATTTCCGGGGCATCCCCACCCTTGTTGGTGGGGGGGTGACTCCACCCCTGTGGCTGGGTCTTGCCGATGGCAAGCACATGTACACATGTTGTACAGCTCGTAGCTGTGAAACACAGCTCCCAACCCGGATCGGGCTGTCTCCAAACAGTGCGTTGCAAGAAATTGGTACATTGATTTTTTTTTTGCATTGATTTGTCCCGAAACCTGATCATCAGCTACATTTCCAAATCTGAGGTTCTGGCGTGTTGTACGCATCAAGTTCAACCAGCTGATGCTTGCCCAAAAGACAGCACACATACCTTCAAACAACGTCATGCAAACATGTGTTTTCGAAGG